CCAATCCTTCCATCCTTCCTTCCCTCCAATCCTTCCTTCCCTCCCTCCAATCCTTCCTTCCCTCCAATCCTTCCTTCCCTCCCTCCAATCCTTCCTTCCCTCCAATCCTTCCTTCCCTCCCTCCAATCCTTCCTTCCTTCCTTCCCTCCAATCCTTCCTTCCTTCCTTCCCTCCAATCCTTCCTTACTTCCCTCCAATCCTTCCATCTTTCCTTCCATCCAATCCTTCCTTCCTTCCCTCCAATCCTTCCTTCCTTCCCTCCGACTCTTCCATCCTTCCTACCCTCCAATCCTTCCTTCCAATCCTTCCCTCCAATCCTTCCTTCCCTCCTTCCTTCCTACATTCTCTCCTTCCTTCCCTCCAATCCTTCCTTCATCCTTCCCTCCTTCCTTCACTCCTTCCTTCCTTCCTGCCCTCCCTCCCTCTCCCCTCCCCAGCTCTGACATCCATGTCCACGCCTTTCCCAACGGCACGCTCTCCGTGCGTCCGGTGACGTCACGCGATGCGGGGGAGTATGTGTGTGTGGCGCGCAACGCGGCGGGCAACGCGCATGCACGGCTGCGCGTGGAGTTGGCGGCTGGGCCAGGCGCCTCCTATCTGCAACCCCGGCTTCCCGTGACCCCCGTGACCCCCGTGACCCAGGATGCCGATCCCAGGGAGGACTGTGCTGCCTACCACTGCCTCCACGTCCCATCCGGTGTCCTGGGAGATCTGGATGTTCGGGTCGCGAGGCCTGATGGGAGTGTGGGGATCTGGGACCTGGGGCCTGGGTTAGACCTCGGATGTGTGACCACGGGTGGGGGGGCGGAGCCTGGGGCGGGTTTTTCCTCTTCCTCTCAGTCACTTCCTTCTTCCTCTTCCTCTTCATTTCCTGTTTCCTCTTCCTTTCCTTCTTCCTCTTCTCTCAATCACTTCCTTCTTCTTCCTCTTCCTCTCAACATCATTCAACTTCTTCTTCCTCTTCCTTTCCCTCTTCCTCTTCCTTTCCTGTTTCCTCTTCCTTTCCTTCTTCCTCTCCATCTCTTCCTTCCTCTTCCTCTCACCATCCTTCATCTTCTTCCTCTTCCTCTGCTTCCTCCTCTACTTCTTTTCCTTCTTCCTCTTCCTTTCCTTCTTCCTCTTCCTCTCATCCTTTCCTGTTCTCTTCCTCTCAATCTCTTCCTTCTTCTTCTTCTTCCTTTCCTTCCTCTTCCTCTTCTCAGTCTCTTCCTTCTTCCTCTTCTTCCTTTCCTTCCTCTTCCTCTTCTCAGTCTCTTCCTTCTTCCTCTTCTTCCTTTCCTTCCTCTTCCTCTTCTCAGTCTCTTCCTTCTTCCTCTTCTTCCTTTCCTTCCTCTTCCTCTTCTCAGTCTCTTCCTTCTTCCTCTTCTTCCTTTCCTTCCTCTTCCTCTTCTCAGTCTCTTCCTTCTTCCTCTTCTTCACATTCTTTTCCTGCTTCCTCTTCTTTTCCTTCTTCCTCTTCTCCATCTCTTCCTGCTTCCTCTCATGTTTCCTCTTCTTCCTCTTCCTTTCCTTCTTCCTCTTCTTCCTCTTCCTCTCAGTCTCTTCCTTCTTCCTCTTCATTTCCTATTTCCTCTTCTTCTTCACTTCCTGGTTCCTCTTCACTTCCTGCTTCCCCTTCGCTTCCTGCTTCACTTCCGGCTTCCCCTTCACTTCCTGCTTCACTTCCTGCTTCCTCTTCATCTCCCACTTCCGCTTCCGCCCCACTACCCCCCGAGCTCTCCGTCCCCTACAGCACCCCCGTGACCTTCACGTGCCCCCGTGACCCAGGGGTCGCGCTCAGTGACCTGGCTGACACCGGCCTCGCAGCCCGTGGCCTTCACTTCCGGCCCGGAGGACGCCCACTTCCGGGTGCTGCCGGACGGGCGTCTGCGCCTGCGGGGGGCACGGCGGGCCAACGCAGGCATGTACACGTGCATGGCGGAGCGGGGCTGGCACGCCACCGTGCGCCTACACGTGCAGCTGTGGGCGCTGCGCATCCGGGTCATGCCTGATGTCCATGACGACGTGAACGACGACATCCGGGTCTCCACCGTGGTGCATCTGCGCGTGCGCTGCCAGGCGGATGGCGTCCCCGAGCCCCGCCTGCTGTGGGAACTCTCCAGGCGGGCTGGTACTTCCAGTCCCGTATCGCAGTCGCATGGGGGGAGGGATCAGCGTGGATGCGCGTGGGACGTTGGAAATCCCGGATGTGCTTGCGCTGCGCAGCGGTGGCAGCTACGCCGTGGCATGTGTGGCGTGCAACCCGGCGGGTGAAGCCCAGATGTGGGTGTGGCTGCCGCCATGGTGGGCACGGGCTCTGCCCCCTGTGGCGTCGGCTCCGCCCACTGAGGCATTGACTCCGCCCCCTGGTGCGCCAGCTCCGCCCAGTAACACTCCTGCCCTGCCATCTTGGGTGCTGGCTCCGCCCCCTGGTGTGCTGGCTCCGCCCTCTGAGGCAGCTCCGCCCCCTGGCCCGCCTGCGCCGCCATCTTGGGCGCTGACTCCACCCCCTGGGGCAGCGTCGGGGGCAGCGCTGCGTGTGGCGCTGGGCGGCAGCTTCCGGCTGCGCTGCCCCACCTCCACGCTTCCGGTGTCCTGGCGCCTGCACGGCGGGCTGGTGCTGCATGGGCCACCGAGTCATGGCCGCTTCACATTGGGCACCGACGGCAGCCTGGAGGTGCGCGCCGCCTACGTCTGCCACGCCCACCCCAGGGCGCCGCCCGGACATGACCCCTGTGCGCCGGAGACCCGGATGTTCAGCTTCATTCCCGCCACTAGGCCGCTGGGTGCCATGGCAGGGCAACGGACTGAGGAGACCCGGATGTGGGGCTTCATTCCCGCCACTAGGCCGCGGCATTCGGTTGCCGGGCAACCAAGTGAAGATACCAGGACGTTGGGCTCCACCACAGCGTCTAGGCCTGTGCCTTCGGTTGCCAGACAACAGACCGAGAAGACCCGGATGTGGGGCTTCATTCCTGCCTTTCGGCCGCTGGGTTCGGTTGCAGGGAAAGCGCGTCAGACCTGGATGTCCGGCTCCAGCAAGACTCCTGGGCCCCAGCCGGAAGATGCCGGGATGTGGGACTCCAAACCTGCGTGTGCTGTACAGAAGCTGCGGTCCGACCAGAGGCCACGGAGAGGCTAGGACCCGGATGTGGACTGGGAAAGACCCAGATGTCACCTATCTCTGGGTCCACTGAGGGGCCAGGACCCGGATGTGGACTGGGAGAAACCCGGATGTCTCCTATCTCCCGGTCCACTGAGGGACCAGGACCCGGATGTGGACTAGAAGGGACCCGGATGTCACTTTCTTCCATGTCCACTGACCCAGATGTGGCATGGAGGAACCGGATGTCACTTTCCGCCAGATGCACTGATGGGTCAGGACCCGGATGTGGACTAGGAGGGACCCGGATGTCACCTTCCTTCATGTCCACTGAGGGGCCAGTACACGGATGTGGACTGGGAGGGACCCGTATGTCACCCTCATTCGTGTCCACTGACCCAGATATGGCCTGGGGAACCCGGATGTCACTTATCTCCAGGTCCACTGAAGGGCCAGGACCCGGATGTGGACTGGGGGACCCGGATGTCACCCTCCTCCGTGTCCACTCACCCGGATGTGGCGTCAGGGACCCAGATGTCACTTATCTCCAGGTCCACTGAGGGGCCAGGACCCAGATGTTGACTGGGGGACCCGGATGTCACCTATCTCCAGGTCCACTGAGGGGCCAGGACCCGGATGTTGCGTGGGGAACCGGATGTTATGTAAGTCCATGTCCATTAACCCGGATGTGGACTGTGGCAGGGACCTGGACATGTGCTGGGCAGGACCCGGATATCACATCCACAGGCCTGGCTGTGGCGTGTGGAGTCTCGGATGTCACGCTCCTCTCCTTCCACTGACAGGGTCTAGGACCCGGATGTGGCATGAGGATCCCAGATGTCAGGTCCCTCCACATCCACTGAGGGTCCAGGACCAAGATGTGGAATGGGAACTACCTGGATGTTAGGGACCTCCAGGTTCGTGAACCCGGATGTGGGCTGGGTACTCGGATGTTAGGGACCTCCAGGTACATGAACCTGGATGTGGGGTGAGTACCCAGATGTTAGGGACCTCCAGGTGAGTGAACCCGGATGTGGGCTGGGTACTCGGATGTTAGGGTCCTCCAGGTCCATGAACCTGGATGTGGGGTGAGTACCCAGATGTTAGGGACCTCCAGGTCCATGAACCTGGATGTGGGGTGAGTACCCAGATGTTAGGGACCTCCAGGTCTGTGAACCCGTATGTGGGGTGGGTACCCGGATGTTAGGGATCTCCAGGTCCGGGAACCCAGATGTGGAGGCGAGTACCAGGATGTCACTTAACTCCAGGTCCACTGGCAGGCGCCAGGACCCGGATGTGAGGGGTTTGGACCCGGCTGTGAGGGTTGGGACCCAGATGTGAGGGGTTGAGACCCAGATGTGAGAGGTGGAACCCGGATGTGGCGGAGCGGGCACTCCACACCTTGGCTCCAGCTGCGCTTTGGCCGTTGGGGTCCTTTCCCAGACTCAGAGGCAATAAAGCAGCCATGCTGCTTCTGGATGGAATTCTTCCTCACTTCCGCCCCCCCAGCGCAGGCCAAGCCCTCCTGAGTCCCTCACTTCCTCCCCAGCCCAGGCCACGCCCTCCTGAGCTCTGGCCACGCCCTACTGAGCACAGGCCACGCCCCCTGGGCACAGGCCACGCTCCCTGACGGTCCTGACTCTTATTGCAGCCCTCCATGTAGTTCTCGAGGTTTCCCTCCTCCCCTTCCTCCTGCCTCTGCCAGGCCTGGCAATTTCTTGGCGCCCAGCCCAGCAACTCCGGGCTTTTCCCTTCCTTCCCTGCCTACCCCTTCAGCACCACATCCTGTTCCTTTCCAAGGAACAAGGGGACTTTTATTTTGGAGGGGGTTTGTGGAGTTCTGGCTGCTGGAGTGACATGGACATTTGAGCCCTGCGAGCTTCCTGGCTGGCAGGGAGAGCAACAGGCCCAGGCGCTGATGGCAGAGAACAGTGGATGTGAGTTCGTCCTCTGGGGAACACGGGGAGAGGTGTGGGGACCCGGGTTTGGGGGGCTTCGATTGCTTTTTGGAGCCCCCCCGGATGTCCCACCATGCCCCGGGGTGGGGGCTTCAGGGCCCCGCCACAAGCCTGGAAAGACAAGCTGAGGGGCTGATGTACTGGTGAGGGCAACAGCAGCCTGGCCCTGGGGTGGCCGGATGTTCCTCAGCTCTTCCCCACTTCCTGCTTCCGGCCTTCTCTTCCAGGAAACGGGGAGCATCATGGGAAGGACGCGATCCTGGGCACCATGTTGGTCAGGAGAGGGCCTGGAGGGAGGGGGAGTCCTCCCATCCCTCCTCCCATCCACCTATCCATCCATCCACCCATCCCTCCACCCATCCATCCATCCACCCATCCACCTATTCATCCACCCATCCATCCATCCACCCATCCATCTATCCACCCATCTACCCATCCACCTATCCATCCATCCATCCATCCATCCACCCACCCATCCATCCATCCACCCATCCATCCATTCATCCATCCACCCACCCATCCATCCACCCATCCATCCATCCATACACCCACCCACCCATCCATCCACCCATCCATCCATCCATCCACCCACCCACCCATCCATCCATCCACCCATCCATCCATCCAACCATCCACCCATCCATCCACCCATCCATCCGTCCATCCATCCACCCACCCACCCATCCATCCATCCATCCATCCACCCATCCACCCATCCACTCATCCATCCAACCATCCATCTATCCACCCATCCATTCACCCATCCATCCATCCATCCACCCATCCACCTATCCATCCATCCACCCATCCACCCATCCATCCACCCATCCTCTCTCTCCTCCTCAGGTCGCACAGCAGCTGCACAGCCCCACCCCTCGTCTTCCTCCTTCTCTTCCTCCTCCTCCCCCCTGGCCCCTGCGCAGGCCCTGCCCCCTCGCGCCCCAACTTCCTGCTGCTCTTGGCCGACGACCTGGGCCTGGGTGACCTGGGCAGCTTCTGGAACCGCAGCCTGCGGTGAGCAGAGGGGGAGGCCCGGATGTAGGGCCTTAGTTACCCGGATGTGGGAGCTCAGATCCCTGGATGTTCCACCAGGAGAACTGTATAGACATCTAGTAACTCAGTTCCTCGGATGTTGGATGTTAGTATCGTGGATGTTGGATACCAAATCCCGGGATGTTGGATCTTAGTGCCCCGGATGTTGGATATCAGGTCCCTGGATGTTACATGTTAGTACCCCGGATTTGAAGACCAGGTCCCCGGATGTTGGATATCAGGTCCCCGGATGTTAAATCTTAATACCCCGGATGTGGGAAATCAGGTTCCTGGATGTTGGACTTCAGTTCCCTGGATGTTGGATGTTAGTACCCCGGATGTTGGAGACTAGGTCCCCGGATGTTGGATGTTAGTGCCCCGGATGTTGGATATCAAGTCCCTGGATGTTAAATCTTAGTACCTCGGATGTGGGAGATCATGTCCCCAGATATTGGACTTCAGTGCCCCGGATGTAGGAGCTCAGGTCCCCAGATGTTGGAGGTTAGTGCCCCGAATGTGGGAGCTCAGGTCCCCGGATGTTAGATATTAGTACCCTGGATGTTGTAGCTCAGTGCCCCGGATGTTGGATCTTATTCCTCCGGATGTAGGAGCCCAGGTGCCTGGATGTTAGATCTTAGTGTCCTGGATGTTGGATATCAGGTCCCCGGATGTTAGATGTTAGTACCCCGGATGTTGGATATCAGATCCTCGGATGTGGGATGTTAGTGCCCTGGATGTTGGAGGACAGGTCCACGGATGTTAGATCTTAATGCCCCGGATGTGGGAAATCAGGTTCCCGGATGTTAGATGTTAGTGCTCCGGATGTTGGAGATCAGGTCCCGGGATGTTGGAGATCAGGTCCCCGATGTTGGAGATCAGGTCCCCGGATGTTGAATCTTACTGCCCCGGATGTTGGATATCAGGTCCCCGGATGTTACATGTTAGTACCCCGGATGTTAGAGCTCAGTTCCCCGGATGTTCCACCAGGAGAACTGTATAGACATCTAGTGGACCCCAGGTCCCCGGATGTTGGATGTTAGGTCCCCAGATGTTGGAGTTCAATTCCCAGGATGTTAGATCTCAGTTCCCTGGATGTTGAAGATCAGGTCCCCGGATGTTGGATATCAGATCCCCGGATGTGGGATGTTAGTGCCCCGGATGTTGGAGATCAGGTCCTCAGATGTTAAATCTTAGTATAACCCAGATGTGGGAAATCAGGTTCCCGGATGTTAGATGTTAGTACCCCAGATGTTAGAGATCAGGCCCCCGGATGTTGGATATCAGATCCCTGGATGTTGGATCTTAGTGTCCCAGATGTTGGAGACCAGGTACCCGGATGTTTGAGCTCAGGTCCCAGAGGTTGGATCTTAGTTGCCCGGATGTAGGCCCTCAGGTCCCCGGATGTTGGGCCTTAGATCCCCAGATGTAGGAGCCCAGTCCACAGATATAGAATCTTAGTACCCTGGATGTGGGATCTCAGGGCCCCAGATGTTGGATCTTAGATCCCCGGATGTTGGACCTCAGGTCCCCAGAGGTTGGATCTTAGTATCCCAGATGTGGGATCTCAGGTCCCCGGATGTTGGATCTTAGATCCCCGGATGTGGGATCTCAGGGCCCCGGATGTTGGAGTTCAGCTCCCGGATGTCAGAGATGAAGTCCTGGATGTTAGAGCTCAGTGCCCCGGATGTTGGTGCTCAGTTCCCCGGATGTTGGGCATTAGATCCCCGGATGTTAGACCCCAGGTCCCCATATGTTCTTGGCTGTGACTCAGTTTCCCTCTGCCCCCACAGCACCCCGCACCTGGACGGCCTGGCCCGGGACGGCTTGCGGCTGACCCAGCACCTGGTGGCAGTGTCCGTCTGCAGCCTGAGCCGTGCGGCCTTCCTGACGGGACGCTACCCTGTGCGCCTGGGTTGGTATGGGGGGGTGGGACATCTGGGGAACGGAGGGAGCGGTGGGGGGGAGGTGGGGACAGGACATCCGGGGATCTGAGAGCCAACATCCGGGATACTAAGATCCAACATCCGTGGACCTGATATTCAACATCCGGGGAACTGAGCACCAACATCCAGGGCACTGAACTCTAACATCCAGGGACTTCATCTCTGACATCCGGGTTACTAAGATCCAACATCCGGGGATCTGAGCACAAACATCCGGGGCACTGAACTCTAACATCCGGGGACCTTATCTCTAACATCCATTGTACTAAGATCCAACATCCGGGGATCTGAGGCCTAACATTCTGGGAACTGAACTCCAAGATCCGAGGACCTGACATCCACCATCCGGGGTACTAAGATCCAACATCCGGGAACCTGAGCCCCAACATCCGGGGAACAGAGCTCCAACATCTGGGGATCTGAGGGCCAACATACCCGAATCTAAGCTCCAATATCCGGGGTTGTAAGACCCAACATCCAGGGAACTGAGCTACAACATCCGGGTAACTGAAGTCCAACATCTGGGGTCCTGATATCCACCATACAGGGCACTGAACTCCATCATCCGGGGATCTGAGGGCCAACATCCGGGATACTAACATCAAACATCCGGGGACCTGAGGTCCAACAACCAGGGAACTGAGGCTCAACATCTAGGGCACTGAGGTCCACTAGAGGGAGGGGAGGATTACTCTGAGGATCTCAGGTTCAAATTCCTGAGACTCTGGGACTTCCCCCCTGAAACACCAGGAAACCGGAAGTGATGCCATATTGGTTTCCCCCGGGGGCTCCCAGGGCTGGGGTCCTTTCCACCCGGGTGGGCAGGTCCCAGGCTATCCCAGACACAGCAGGCCTTCCCCCTGAAGGTGTTAGATGCCCCCTCCTGACCCGGGACGCCATCATCACTGACCTAGGGTCCTTCTCCTCTCTCTTGAAAGGCATGGTGACCACCAACGGGGCGCGCGTGCTGCAGTGGGCAGCCGTGTCGGGCGGGCTGCCCACCTCCGAGATCACCTTCGCCAAGATCCTGCAGGAGCAGGGATACGCCACCGGCCTCATAGGTAAGAGAGAAGTCATCCATCCACCAATCCATCCATCCACCCATCCCCCATCCATACACCCATCCATCTATCCATCCACCCATCCATCCATCCATCCATCCATCCACCCATCCACCCATCCATCCATCCATCCATCCATCCACCCATCCATCCATCCATCCACTCATCCATCCATCCATCCACCCATCCACCTATTCATCCATCCATCCATCCATCCACCCACCCATCCATCCATCCACCTCCATCCATTCATCCATTCACCCACCCATCCATCCACCCATCCATCCATCCACCCACCCACCCATCCATCCACCCATCCATCCATCCACCCACCCACCCATCCATCCATCCATCCACCCATCCACCCATCCATCCATCCACTGTGCATCCATCCATCCAGCCATCCATCCATCCACCCATTCCCCTATTCATCCATCCATCCATCCACCCACCCATCCATCCATCCATCCATCCATCCACTCACCCAACCATCCACCCACCCATCCATCCACCCATCCATGTACCCATCCACCTATCCATTCACTCGTCCATCCGTCTCTTCCCCTCCAGGCAAATGGCACCTGGGCCTCAACTGTGAGTCCCCCTCTGACCACTGCCAACACCCCCTGAACCACGGGTTTGACTCCTTCTTCGGGGTCCTCTTCACCCTGATGGGGGACTGCTTGCAAGAGGAGCCCTCAGAGAAGCGAGCGCGTCTGCAAGGGCCCCTGGACCTGGGGGCGCAGCTGCTGCTGCTTTCCCAGCTCTGCCTGGACTCTGGGAAGCTCACGGGCCTGCTGGGCCTGCGCTGGGTGCCCTGGGTGCTGGGCCCTGTATGTGGGGCCTTGCTCCTGGCCTGCACCTCCAGCCTCCTGGGTGTCTTCATCGTCCATGCCGACTGCTTCCTGATGAGGGATCACCAGGTCGTCCAGCAGCCTCTGAGGTTTGAGGCCAGCGCGGGGCTCTTCTTGCGGGAGGCTGAGGCCTTCATGCACAGGTCAGCCTGGCGTCTTGGAGGGGGACAGATGCCATCTACTAGATCTCTATAGTCAACTGGTAGACCTTAGATCCCCGGATGTACATCCAGTAGATCTCTATAGTCAACTGTCAACCTCAAATCCCCGAATGTTCCACTAGGAGATCTCTATAGGCATCTGGTAGACCTCAGATCCCCGGATGTACATCCAGTAGATCTCTATAGTCAACTGGTCAATCTCAAATCCCCGGATGTTCCATCAGTAGATCTCTATAGACATCTGGTAGACCTCAGATCCCCAGATGTACATCTACTAGATCTCTATAGTCAACTGGTAGACCTCAGGTGCCCAGATGTATATCCAGTAGATCTCTATAGTCAACTGTCAACCTCAAATCCTCTGGTAGACCTCAGATCCCCGGATGTACATCCAGTAGATCTCTATAGACATCTGGTAGACCTCAGGTCCCCAGATGTTCCATCTAGTAGATCTGTAGAGACATCTGGTAGAACTCAGATCAGACCATGATCGATTATTGGTAGTATTGATCAGATCATGATCGATTATTGGTAATAACTGATCAGATGATGTTCGATTATTGGTAATAACTGATTAGCTCATGTTCAATTATTGGTATTATCGATCAGATGATGTTCGATTATTGGTATTATCGATCACATCACAATCGAATATTGGTATTATTGATCAGATCCTGTTCGACTATTAGTAATATCTGATCAGCTCATGTTCTATTATTGGTCATATCGATCAGATGTTTGATTATTGGTAATAACTGATCAGATCTGTTCGATTATTGGTAATAACTGATCGGATCACGATCGATTATTGGTATTTTTGATCAGATCACTATTGATTATTGGTATTATCGATCACATCAGGATCGATTATTGGTAATATCTGATCAGATCAGGATCAATTATCGATCATCTGATCGATTATTAGCAATACCTGATCAGGTCGGTTATTGGTGAGGTTATTGATGAGGGGGGCGGGGTCTGACGTGGGTCCGCAGGCACCAGGCCAGCCCCTTCCTCCTTCTCGTCTCCTTCTTCCACGTCCACGTCCTGCTGGTCACCTCACCTGCCTTCCGGGGCCGCAGCGCGCACTGCGCTTACGGCGACAACGTGGAGGAGATTGACTCGATGGTGGGTGAGTGCGGGGCGGCAGGAACTGAGGCACGGTGCTTGGGATGGGGGAAACTGAGGCACGGGGGTGGGGTGAGCGGGATAGGGAGACTGAGGCACGGGGACGGGGTGAGCGGGATAGGGAAACTGAGGCACGGGGGTGAGTGGGTTGGGGGAAACTGAAGCACAGAGATGGGGTGAACAGGATGAGGGAAACTGAGGCATGGGAACGGGGTCAATGGATTGGGGTAAACTGAGGCATGGTGCACTTGGGTAAACTGAGGCACGGTGCATTTGGGTAAACTGAGTCACTGGGCATGTTGGGGGTAAACTGAGGCAAGGTGCACTTGGGTAAACTGAGGCACGGTGCATGTTGGGTAAACTGAAGCTCGGTGCATGTTCAGGGTGAACTGAGGCACGGTGCATTTGGGTAAACTGAGGTACGGTGGATGTGGGTAAACTGAGGCCCGCATATAGGGGTAAACTGAGGGACGGTGCATGTTGTGTAAACTGAGTCACTGGGTATTGGGGTAAACTGAGGCACGGTGTATTTGGGTAAACTGAGTCACTGGGCATGTTGGGCAAACTGAGGCATGGTGCATGTTGGGTAAACTGAGTCACTAGGCATGTTGGGTAAACTGAGGCATGGTGCATGTTGGGTAAACTGAGGCACGGGGACAAGGTGAGTGGGTTGAGTAAACTGAGGCACCGGGATGGGGTAAACTGAGGCACGGGGACGGGGTCAGCGGGTTGGGGTAAACTGAGGCACGGTGCATTTGGGTAAACTTAGGCACGGTGCACTTGGGTAAACTGAGGCCCAAATATAGGGGTAAACTGAGGCACGGTGCACTTGGGTAAACTGAGGCAAAGTGCATTTGGGTAAACTGAGGCACAGTGCATGTTGGGGTTAAACTGAGGCACAGTGCATGTTGGGGGTAAACTGAGGCACGGTGTATTTGGGTAAACTGAGGCCCGGTGAGCGTTGGGGGTAAACTGAGGCACGGTGCCTGTTTGGTAAACTGAGTCACTGGGCATTGGGGATAAACTGAAGCACGATGGAAATTTGTAAACTGAGTCACAATGCATGTTGGGTAAACTGAGGCACGGTGCGTGTTGGGGGCAAACCGAGGCATGGTGGATGCTGGGGGTAAACTGAGGCACGGACCCATTTCCCCCCCCGCAGGGCGACTGCTGGCAGCGCTAGACGGCGCGGGGCTGGGGCGCCGTACCCTCGTCTACTTCACGTCTGACCACAGTGCCTCGCTGGAGGCCCGGGCTGGGGTGCCCGCCTCGGGGGTTCCAACAGCATGCACCGAGGCTAGGGGAAAACTGAGGCAGGGTGGGCGGGGCCTCCCACGCGGCCCGACCCCTCCCCTTGACCTTTGCCCTTCGCCCCCCCTTGCAGGTGCCAAAGGCATGGGCAGCTGGGAGGGCGGCGTCCGGGTCCCTGGGCTGGTGTGCTGGCCTGGGACGCTGCCCGCAGGGCGCCTGGTGCCTGAGCCCACCAGCCTCATGGACCTGTTCCCCACCGTAGTGCGCCTGGCCCGGGGCTGGGTTCCGGCGGACAGGTAGGAGTTCGCCGGCCTGCGTCCCCACGGGGTGGAGGAGAAGGGGGGTCATCCGGGGCCTCGGGGATCCCGAGCGGGGGAGGCTGAGGCCTGCACATCCGGGTCTCTGGTTGCTCAGAAGCCTGCACATCCGGGTCTCTGAGGGCTCAGACCTGCACATCCGGGTCTCTGGGGCTCAGGAGCCTTTACATCCGGGTAACTAAGGGCTCAGGCCTGCAAATCTGGGCCTCTGAGCACTCAGAAGCCTAGACATCTGGGTCTCTGAGGACTCAGGCCTTCATATCTGGGTCTCTAAGGCATCAGGGCTGCACATCCAGGTCTCTGAGTACCTAGGCCCAGGTCTCAGGCCTGGACATCCGGGTCTCTGAGGGCTTAGGCCTGCACATCTGGGTCCCTGAGGGCTCAGAAGCCTGCACATCTGGGTCTCTGGGATCTCAGGCCTGCACATCCGTGTCTCTGGGGGCTCAGAAACCTGGACATCCGGGTCTCTGGGATTTCTGGCCTGCACATCTGGGCCTCTGAGCGCTCAGAAGCCTGCACATCTGGGTCTCTGAGTGTTCAGGAGCCTGGACATCCGGGTCTTGAAGGCCTCTGAAGCCTGCACATCCAGGTCTCTGAGGGCTCAGAAGCCTGCACATCCGGGACTCTAAAGGCTCAAGCCTTGACATCCAGGTCTCTGGGATCTCTGGCCTGCACATCCGGGTCTCTGGGGGCTCTGGCCTGCACATCTGGGTCTCTGAGTGCTCAGAAGCCTGCACATCCAGGTCCCGCAGGGAGGTGGAAGGCCGGGACCTGATGCCCGCGCTGCTGGGGATGGCGCAGGCCGCAGGCCACGACTTCCTGCTGCACTACTGCGAGGCCCGGCTGCACGCCGTGCGCTGGTTCGACCACCCAAGTGAGTGCCTTGACCTCCGCTGGGCCCCGGGGCGGGGGAGGGAGCTGCATGCATGCGTGCAGGGACCCGGATGCAAGGCCTGGGGGTGGGAGACCTGGATGTGGGAATCCCCGGATGTGGGAATCCTGGGATGTGAGGACCTGGATGGAAGGCATGAGATGGGAATCCCCGGATGTAAGGTCCCGGATGTGAAGTCCCCGATGGGAATTCCCGGATGTGAGGTACTGAATGAGAATCCCTGGATGTGAGGCCCCGGATGTGGGAATCCTGGGATGTGAGGACCTGGATGGAAGGCATGAGATGGGAATCCCCGGATGTGAGGCCCCGGATGTGAGGTCCCAAATGGGAATCCCTGGATGTGAGGTCCCAGATGAGAATCCCTGGATGTGAGGCCATGGATGTGAGTCCCCAGATGTGAGGTCCCACATGTGAATGCACGGATGTGGGGCCCCGGATGTGAATCCCCGGATGTGAAGCCCCAGATGTGAATCCCCGGATGTGAAGCCCCGGATGTAAGGTTCTGGATGTGAGGTCCCGGATGTGAATTCCCGGATGTGAGGTCCGAGATGGGAATCCCCGGATGTGAATACCCAGATGTGAAGTCCTGGATGGGAATCCCCGGATGTAAGGTCTTGCATGTGAATGCCCGGATGTGAATCCCTGGATGTGATGTTCTGGATGTGAATTCCCGGATGGGAATCCCCGGATGTGAGGCCCTGGATGTTACTCCTTTCTCCCCCCACCCCCCGCAGGCCGCACGGTGTGGAAGCTGCACTTCGCCACTCCGCGCTCCGACTCGCCGGGCTCGGGCACCTGCCTCAGTTTCCCTGCCTGTGCCTGCTCGGGCGGCGAATGACCCGCCACCTGCGGCCACTGCTCTTTGACCTGACGGCGGACCCGGGGGAGACCTGCCCGCTGCAGGGCCCGATGGCGACGTGCAGACGCGTGGAGGCCGCGGTGGCCCGGATGCTGCGCACGCGCCGCCCCCTCATGGCCCCGCCCCTCGCCCCTGCACACAACACCTGGAGCCCGTGCCTGCAGCCCTGCTGCGCGCCCAGACCGCTCTGTGCCTGCGACCACCTGATCCCCGACTTCTGACCCTGACCCGACCCCCAACCCCCAACTTCCCTGGGGCTATGGCAGATCCTGGCCTGCGCCTTCTCACATCCGGGGACTCACATCCGGGTATTAAACATCCAGGTATACTCAAATACAGAGATTCCCACATCCGGGGATTCCCACATACAGACTCTCACATCCAGGGATTCCTACATCCGGAGATTCTCACATCCAGGGATTCCTACATCCGGGGATTCTCACATCTGGGGATTCTCACTTCTGGTGACACATCCGGGAATTCCCGGGGATGTATTTACACATCCGGGGACTTTTAGACCCGGGGATTCTCACAACCAGAGACTCTCACATCCGGGGACTTTTACATCCGGGGATTCTCATATCCAGAGACTTTCACATCCGGGGATTCCTACATACAGACTCTCACATCCAGAGATTCTCACATCCGGGGATTCTCACATCCAGAAATTCTCACATCCAGAGATTCCCACATCCGGGGATTCTCATATCCAGGGATTCCCACATCCGGGGATTCTCAGACCAGGGAATTCCCACATCTGGGGAAATCTCACATCCAGAAACTCACATCCGGGGATTCCCACATCTGGGGATTATCGCATCCAGGGATTCTCACATCTGGGGATTCCCACAGCCGGGGATTCTCACATCCGGGGATTCCCACATCTAGAGATTCCTACATCCAGGGATTGTCACATCCAGGGACTTTTACATCCAGAGACTCTCACATGCGGGGATTCTAACATCTGGGGAACTCTTACATCTGGGGATTTTCACATTCAGAGAGTCTCACATCTGGGGATTCTCAGACCCAGGGATTCCCACATCCAGGGACTCTCACATCCTGAGCCTCTCATCCTGGACCTCCACCTTGGGCCTCCCATCCGGGGCCTTTCCCCAGCCTCCCATCCGGGGCCCTCTCACATCCGGGCCTATGTCCTCTAACTTCTCACACAATAAAACCTCGTGAGCACCGCACCGCACGGCAGGGTCAGGGGTCACCGGGGTCAGAAGCCGGGCACTGGTCCTGCCTTCCATTTCAGGTCATTTCCGGTTGATGCTAGGATACAGGGCTGGTCCTGCCTTCCATTTCAGGCCACTTCTGGTCGTTGCTAGGGTAGAGGACTAGTCCCACCTTCCATTTCAGGTCATTTCCGGTCATTGCTAGGGTATAGGACTACTCCCACCTTCCATTTCAGGTCATTTCCGGTCATTGCTAAGGTATAGGACTAGTCCCACTTTCCATTTCAGGCCACTTCTGGTCATTGCTAGGGTATAGGACTGGTCCTGCCTTCCATTTCAGACCATTTCTGGTCATTGCTAGAATACAGGGCTGGTCCCACCTTCCATTTCAGGTCATTTCTGGTGGTTGCTAGGGTATTGGACTAGTCCCGCCTTCCATTTCAGGCCATTTCCGGTGGTTGCTAGGGTATTGGACTATTCCCGCCTTCCATTTCAGACCATTTCCGGTGGGTTGCTAGGATACAGGCTTGGTCTCGCCCTCCTCCAGGACATCCCACCACCTAGATTCACACCTGATTGGCCTATTCCATGAAAGCCCCGCCTTCACTTTCCTAATTCACTTGTCATTGGTCCAGCTGTAAGACACGCCCTTTAGCCCCCCCACAAATCCAACTCGCTGCTGATTGGACCTCACACGACAGTCCTGCCCCTAACTACCTGAACTTGGATTCAGATTGGCCCAGCGGGATTGGAGACGTGGGGTACCCGGATGGTGGACCACTCTAAGGGGAGGCAGTGGTTGCGTGGATGGATGGGTGGATGACCAGGCCTGCGACCTCTTCCCCTTCTGTGCCTGTCCCAGGGGACCCCAATGACCTCTCCAGGGATTGACCCAGATGGGCCTATAGCTCCTTATGGCGGTAGGATAAGTCGAGGTCGGAGGTCTGTGTCTCCCTAGGCCTAGGATGCATTGCACCTGCACGGCATCCGGGTCTTCTCTGGAGGGAGGGACCCATTGGCTTCCCCGGGGACTCCTCCAGCCACGCCCCCTGCTCTGATTGGCTGACACGCCTGTCTCTCCCTCCTTTGGCCCCGCCCAGGGAAGCTGGGGGTCCAGTCCCGCCTCTTCCTTGGGTGATATTGAAAGGCAGGGCATGCTGTCCATCATCCCTGTGTCCCGCCCCCTGCCAAGCCAATAGCTGGAGAGTCAATATGTGTGAAGCCACGCCTCTTCGTGGCTAGCTCTATGAACGCTGTGGGTGACCATCACCCAGAGGTCCTGCCCACTAGTGAATGTATGGGCTCAAGGGCTGTCCTTCACTTCCAGGTCCCGCCTCCTGGCTGTTGGAAGGCCATAGAGGCTCTTTGTCACCTCCAGGCCCCGTCCAATGGCTGTTGAAAGGCCACAGGGGCTGTCTGTCTCCTCCAGGTCCCGCCCCCTGGCTGTTGTGTGGACATTTGTCCTCTCTGTCACCTTCAGACCATGCCCCCTTGTTGTATAATCCTGTGTCCTGTCTGTCACCTTCAAGCCACGCCCCCTTGTATTATCAAGTGTCCTGTCGACTTCAGGCCACGCCCCTTGCAATTAGATGGCCACACAGGGTGTCATTTACCTCCAGGCCCCTCCTCCTACTCCGTCTTATGTCCTGTCAAGCCGAAGTCCCGCCCACAAGTGACTGACTGGACACTCTAGCTGTCCATCACCATCCTGTCCCGCCCTGCGCCTGTCTCCACACTGAGTAGGCGCCAGAGGGGAAGGGAAACGCTGCCTGGGCGCACGCAACGCGCATGTGCGGGAAGTGGTTCCAAAGAGGCGGAGCCTGCGCATGCGCTATGGAAAGATGGGCGGGGCAGACAGGCCTGACAGTGCGCATGTGTACTTTACGCTGATTTTATTCGTCCCTCCCCCCCAGGCTCCTTCTTACGCTTCCGCTTCGGCTGGCTGCTGGAGGCCCCGGGTTCGAATCCAGCCTCACACTGGGGCGGGGCCTGGGGGCGAGGGGAGGCACAGGCTACAGCCCCCGCGGGGGATCATGGGAGGCTTCGCCCCACGCCCCCCCTCATCCGGGCACCCTGGGAGGGGGCAGTTCCCACCTGCATCCCGGCCCGCAGCCCGGAAGCAGTGTCTGCAACCTCCAGATTAGAAGTAGGTGATGGCGGTGCTCACTAGGGCCACGACCACCACGGACACAACAGGGGACACGAGGCAGGCCAGCGTGCTGCCTTTAGGGGGCGGAACCGGAAATTGGGGGGAGAACACACCCAGGAAGGGGGTGGGGCGTCCCCCTGCAGCTTCTGGTCGGGAAGTGTCCGGAAACAGGAAGCGAGCCAAGGCGAAGGGGGCGGGACAAGGGTGCCTGACCGGAAGTGCTATCACAGCCATGACAGGAAGTGTCCATGAACAGGGACAGGAAGTGCCCCTAGTCAAGACCGGAAGTTCTTGTGTACTAGGGACTGGAAGTCTCCATAGTCAAGACCAGAAGTTCTTGTATACTAGGGACCGGAAGTCCCCATAGTCAAGACCTGAAGTTGTTATATACTAGGGACTGGAGGTCTCCACAGTCAAGACCAGAAGTTCCTACACACTAGGGACCGGAAATGCCCTTCCAATCAGGACCAGAAGTGCCCTTCCCATCAGGACCGGAAGTTTCTATATACTAGGGACCGGAAGTCCCCAGTCAGGACCAGAAGTTCCTATATACTAGGGACCGGAAATCTCCACAGTCAAAACCGCAAGTCCCCATAGTCAATACCAGAATTTCTTATACACTAGATACAGGAAGTTCCTCTACACTAGGGACTGGAAGTGCCCTTCCAATCAGGATCGGAAGTTCCTATACACTAGGGACCAGAAGTGCCCTTCCAATCAGGACCAGAAGTTCCTGTACACTTGGACTGGAAGTCCCCATAGTCAAGACCAGAAGTTGTTATATACTAGGGACCAGAAGTCTCCACAGTGAAGACCGGAAGTTCTTACACACTAGGGACCGGAAGTCCCCATAGTCAGGACCGGAAGTTCATATACACTAGGGACCAGAAGTCCTCAGTCAGGACCGGAACTTGTTATATACTAGGGACCGGAAGTTCCCAATCAGGACCGGAAGTTCTGATACTCTGGACCAGAAGTTCACATACTGTCAGGAGCGGAAGTTCTCATGCAGACTGGAAGTCCCAATACACACCTGGGCCCAGATCAGGAGGGGACCGGAAGTGGGGCGGCCGAGGGTGCAGGACTTACCCTGGAGGGTCTCCGTGGATCACGTGTTCGTCGCCAGCACCTGGGGTGGAGGAGGAGGAGAGACGCAGCCCTGGGAGCTCGGCCTCCACATCCGGGTCCTTACATCCGGGTCCCTACATCTGGGTACCCACATCCAGGTCCCTACATCCGGGATCCCATGTCTGGGTCTCCACATCCGGGTCTCTACATCCAGGAATCCACACTGGAGTCTCCACATCCGGGTCTCTACATCCAGGTCTCCACACTGGGGTCTCCACATCTGGGTCTCTACATCCAGGCTTCCACATCCGGGTCCCTACATCCAGATTCCCATGTCTGGGTCCCTACATCTGGGTCCGTAAATCCGGGCCTCCACACTGGGTTCCCTACATCCAGGCTTCTACATCCGGGCCTCTCCATCCCCAGCCTCCACATCCGGGCCTCCCCCCTTCCATGTCCTCACCTCCTGTGCCTGGCGGGGGTTGGGGCTGGGGTTGAGGCTGGCGTCGGGAGGTAGATGTCTGCGGGAAGAGAGAGAGTGAGGGAGGATGGAGGCCGGCCTCTCCCTTCCCCTTACCCCCCTCCTTCCCCTGACCCCTGACTCCCCCTGACCCTCCCTGACCCCGCTCACCTCCATCCCTACCTGGGGGTCACGGCCTGGGCGGGTCAGGCAGCTGTGGGTACAGCCCTGTGTGCCAGGAGTGGGCCGTGCCTCAGTTTCCCCACCCTGGGTGGGCCTGGTGTGTGTGTGGGAGGACCCCACTCATCCGAGATGGGCTTCGGGGTGGGATCTGCAGGCGAAGAGAGAGAGGGTGGTGACCCCTGACTTCCCCTGACCCCCCCAACCCCTGATCCCAAGGCCTCAGGGGGTGGCAAAGGGTCACATGGGATTCAGGCCCACAGCTGGATCAAGGCCCCACGTGAGGCCTAGCGCCCAGGGTGAAGTCATGGGGGGGGAAAGGTGAGAGGTCAGGACTCACCGGGGTCATCCAGGGCGTCGGCGAGGTCAAAGTCTGCCTGGCCTGAGGGTGGAAGAGGACAGTTGTTGGGGACAGACGTATGGATGGGGAGACAGATAGACACAGAAACGAACAGACAGACCGAGAGGATGACACACGGACAGACAGACAGACAAGGGATGGACAGATGATCAAGACAGGACAGACAGATGGACAGACAGAAGAAGCAGATGGACAGCCAGGTGGACAGACAGACCAAGAGGCAGACAGACAGAGAGGAAGACAGATGGACAGAGAGGAGACAGACAGACAGACACAGGACAGACAGACCCAGACAGAGAGACTGAGAGGCAGACGGACAGACAGACAGACAGACCAAGAGGATGACACATGGACAGATAGACAGACAGACAGAGCCAGAGACAGATGGACAGACAGACAATGAGACAGACAGAGAGGAGATGGACAGACAGAAACATGGACACACACACACGGACAGACACACGGACAGGCAGGGGCCCAGACACAGACTGACCTGCAGACAGATAGAGACAGACAGATGTAGAGACTGAGGGACAGACAGACAGACAAGGGATGGACGGATGACCAAGACCGGATGGACAGACAGACAGGAGAAGCGGATGGGCATCTAGGTGGACAGACAGACCAAGAAGAAGACAGACAGACTGCGAGGAGACCGACAGACAGACAGACTGAGAGGAGATGGACAGACCGACAGAAGCAGATGGACAGAGACACAGACAGACAGACTGAGATGCAGACGGACAGACAGACAAAAAGGAAGACAGATGGACAGAGAGGAGACAGACAGACGTAGAGGCAGGCAGACAGACATAGACAGACCAAGAGGAGATGGACAGACAGACAGACCCAGAGAGAGACAGACCGACACAGACAGACTGACTGACGGACAGATGGACAGATGGACAGACAGACCCAGAGACAGACAGACAGACAGGGACACAGACAGACTGACAGATGGACAGATGGACAGACAGACAGACAGACCGAGAGGAGACGGACAGACAGACAGACAGACAGACACAGAGACACACAGGCCAACAGGACAAGGCCCCGGCTTCCAACAACCTGGACCAGCCTGAAAATCCACCGCCACCTCCCCACCCCACAACCCCAGCCCAGCCCCGGGCCCTGATGGAGGGGAACCCGAAACCACCAGGAGAGGAGAGGGGGACACTAGAAACCACCAAAGAGGGGAGAACTACAAACCACCAAACTGAGGAGAGAACTAGAAACCACCAAACAGGGGAGAACTAGAAACCACCAAAAAGGGGGGAACTAGAAACCACCAAAGAGGGAGAACTAGAAACCACCAAACTGGGGGGGAAGTAGAACCACCAAGGTGGGGGAACTAGAAACCACCAAGGGGGAGAGAAACCACCAAGGAGGGGGGAACTAGAAACCACCAAGGGGGGAGAACTAGAAACCACCAAGGAAGGGGAAACTAGAAACCACCAAACGGGGGGAAGTAGAAACCACCAACCACGGGGAGAGAACTAGAAACCACTTAACTGGGGGAGAGAACTAGAAACCACCAAGGAGGGGGAACTAGAAACCACCAACCAAGGGGAGAGAACTAGAAACCACCAAACGGGGGGAACTAGAAACCACCAACCAGAGGGAGAGAACTAGAAACCACCAAGGAGGGACAACTAGAAACCACCAAAGAGGGGGAACTAGAAACCACCAAGGGGGGGGACTAGAAATCACCAAGGGGGGAGAACTAAAAACCACCAAAGAGGGTGGGGGGACTAGAAACCACCAAGGCCTCACCTCAGCCTCCTGGGCCCAGGCCGCAGAGCAGGGCGGCCAGCAGCAGCAGCAGCAGCGCAGGTCCTCCTTGAAACCTACAAGGCTATGGTCAAAGTCACCCTAAGCAGGAAAGTCCTAGAAACCCCTGTCCAACTTCAGTGCCAACAAAGCCAGAAGTAGAGCCGTGTGGCTCCAGTGGTAGAGGGCTAGCCTTGAGCAAAAGCAGCTCATGGACTGTGCCCAGATCCTGAGTTCAAGGTCTGGGACTGGCAACAAACAGACATACACAACAATCTGTGCAGCCATCCAGCTGAAGCATGTCACCCTCTTGTCCCCAGCTGAATTGGACAGAGTTCCCTGGGAAAGGGGCTGGGGGAGCCACTGTCATCTTGACTCTGCCCATTCTGCCTGCATCACAGGATTCTGGCCACACCATTAGTTCATGGTTCTTTCTGACCAAAGGGATACAAGAATGGTGGCCATGCCCACATTCCATGTTGCCTGGTAGATGGACTAGGCTCTGTTAGAACACTCGGAGGCTGAGATCCACAGGGGAAAATCCTGCCACAGGAGTGTGTGCCAGCTGCAGGCACCCCCTGGCCAACCCAGCAGCTCAGTGCCAGACTGAGCTGGAGCCACAGGCCCTCTGCCCCATGAGCTGCCACCACAGCATGCGTGGGGATGGGAAGCAGGACACATGGGCATCTGAGAAGAAAATCTGCTTTGTCCATGACCTGCCTGATGAGGTAGACTTCCAGAGTCCAGCAGGTGAGCTCCCCCATTGATGCAGCCAGCTGTTGGCACACATCCAAATCATCGAGGAGTCCCTCATGGTGTGTAAAGAGCAGATGTTGGTCCTGAATGACCTGTGTTGGGAGAAAGCCCAGTGCATGCACTTGCTGTCCCAGGAGAAGATGGAGAGGAGGAGAGTGCTGCAGGAGCTGCTGTCACTCATCGCAAGGGAAGGCACAGACAGCAGTCTCAAGATGCCAGCACAGGCTGAACTCCCCACCACCAGCACTGCTTCAGACGCCTCAGGGACTGTGGTGGGTGAAATGAGGGAGGAGCAGAAAGGTTTTGAAGAATTGCAACTTGAAAACAGCATGGAAACTGCCAGAGGAGAGGTCAGCTTCCTGACCCCATAGTGGACTCCCTCAAGGAGCACATCCTGCGCCAGATGCCGCACATCCAGATCCGCCCACAGCTCCCAGGCTCAGGGGAGGCGTGTTCCCTCACTTTCTCTTGTAGACTGATGCGGATGATGACTCTCTATGTGACATACTGACTCTCAAAAGCCTTGGCAGCCACCAGAAGTAGGTGGCCAGGTGGGTTTCTCTCAGGCCTCCATCAGCCGGGTGATGGGAAGGTTAAACTGGGGGTCGGGTAAGGCAGAAGCTGCCGGGAGGTGAGCCAAACTCAAGAGATATCTAATGGCCCATTGGTGGCCAGGAAAGAGGCCCATGTTATGCTTATCACAAAGAATAAATTGTTTTCAAACAAAATAAAAAGCCTTCAACAAAGATTTGTTCTTCCGGCCCTGGGGCTTGAACTCAGGGCCTGGCCATTGTCCTGAGCTCTTTTTGATCAAGACTGGCACTCTACAAGTTGAGCCCCACCTCCCTTTCCAGCTTTTTCTGTGTGGAATAGATCCCAGGGCTTCAGGCATGCTAGGTGACCACTCTACCACTGAGCCACATTCTCAGCTAGGATGATTCTCCCCACTCCCAAACCCATATGACCATTCCTCAGATAAATAGGAAGTAGGTGGTGGTGTATGCATCAAACACCTAGGCCAGCAGCCACCAGGCTTAGTGGGGAAAAGATTGTAGTGTAGAAATCTCTGATTTTGCATGCACGTGGTGTGTGTGTGTGTGTGTGTGTGTGTGCGTGTGTGTGTGTGTGTGTGTGTGTGTGTGTGTGTGTGTGTGAACTCAGGGCCTAGGCTCTATCCCTGAGTTTTCTTGCTCAAGGCTAGTGCTCTGCCTCTTGAGCCACAGCCTCACTTGCTTTTCGATGGTTAATTGTAGGTAAGAGTCTCAAGGACTTTCCTTTCCAGGGTGGCTTTGAATCATGATGGGGGCCCCCAAGGAAGCAAGAGTAAACACAACTCTCAAATACTATCCCTATGGTGGGCTACTCCTGCACCCTGGGGGCCAGATGTGAGACATGTGGCCCCGTGCCATCATTCTCTAGAGTTCACTTTGAGGAAGTGACCAGGACCAAGCTGACTTTTGCTCACCCTGATTGCTCATGCCAGAGCAGGTCTGTTCCACCCTAGGCCAAGAGAGCTCCAGGAGGCCCGGCTTACCAGGGACACAAAAAGGGAGAAGTCAGCTCCAGGCTGAGCTAAGAGCCTTTGCCTACATATACCCCAACTTGGCCTTACTTATCACTATAAGACCTGTCAAAGAACAACCCCCCAAAACAAAATTGGAGCTGTGCCTCCAAGTGGTAGAGCTCTAGCATTGAACCAAAGAGCTCAGGGACAGGGCCCACAAGCTTTGAGTTCAAGACCCCCAGCTGACCTTCCCCCATAAAACACAGGTTGTCTAACTGTGAACTAGTAGGATTTGTGAAGTGTTTCTGAAGAATGGTGATACTGAAGAAAGCACCCTAATTCTAATGACAGCTGAACTTGTGACATACACCTATGTGCTGAGTCCTTCACAGGGCGCTATTTGCTGGGTCCTTCCCACATGGGGGTTTTGTGCTGAGTTCTCAAAAAGATTTGGTGAGTCATCCCAAAGGGTTCTATATGCTGAGTCCCTGAGAAGAGTGGGCTGTCCTGGGTTTTTCAAAGGGTGCTGTGTGCTGAGTCCATTACACAACGTACTGTATGCTGAGTCCTTCAAAAAGTGTGGTGAGCTACTGCATCCCAAAGGGTCCTGCTATGTGCTGAGCCCTTGCGAAGAGAGGGATGAGGTGAGTTTTTTGAGTGCTGTGTGCCGAGTCCTTTACACAGGGTGCTCTGTACTGTCCTTCAAATGGTGCTGTGAGCTGAGTGCTTCCACAGTGTGGTATGTGCTGAGTCCTTCAAAATTGTTCTATGTGCTGAGTTTTTCGAAGGGTGTTGTGCACTAGATGTTTTACACAGGGTGCTTTATGCTCAGCCCTTCAAAGGGTGCTGTGTGCTGAGTACTCTACCCAGCATACTACATGCTGAGTCCTCAAAGGGAGCTGTGTGCTGAGTCCTTTACACAGGGTGCTTTGTGCTGTTTTTTGGAAGTGTGCTGTGTGCTGAGTCACCCCAAAGGGTGCTACGTTCTGAGTCCTTGAGAGATAGTTATCCCCAACACTCACACACACACAAGTACAAACACACATACACACACAAATTTCACCATGCACCTGCTTGGTGTGTGGAGTGGAGGGGGATGGAGGAGAGTCTCCTCCAGCGGTGGGGCTGAGGGGAGATTCGATCCCCCGGGCAAGTACTGGGGGTGGGGGGGAATGCTGAGTTGAGGTAAGGCTGCAATTGCCATGGTCTAGGAACCTCAGGGCCCAGTCAGGGCTGCAATTGTGGCCAGGGCTGGGGGGCGGGGCCCAGGAGCGCACTTTGGTGGCAGCAATGGCCAGGGGCCCAAGGGGGCTAGGGCATGTGCACAGCAGGGGCGGGGTGGCCCAGGAGAGGAGTATGGGGCAGAAAGAGAGCTGGGAGAAGAGTGAGCATGAGCACAAGCACCAGTGGAGATGGCTTCAGTGGCTGGCGGCTGCTCAGATCATAGCGTGGGTCCTGGCTGGTTGCATAGAGCATGTGGAGCCTTCATGGCAGGCCATGGCCGCGCGTAGCCCCTGCAGCAGCCATGGCGCCCCTGAGTCTGAGGTCCCAGTTCGGGGAGCAAGGCAGAGTCAGCAGCTGCTGAGGCAGAGGCAGTAGCCACAGGGGACAAGGCCACTGAGGGGGCTGCAGCCGCTGAGGAGAAGGAGCAGAGGCTGAGAGCTGCCCCACCGCGCGCCAGCAGACGCCCCCGCCCCTTCCCAGCAGTGCTGCATTTCAAACGTGCTGCAGGCTCGGACTGGTGGAGCCTCTTGCAGTCACCTGGTGGAGATGGCGCACCCCTGTCTGGCTTGTGGCCCTGACTTGGTCCCGGCCCCGGGCCCTCAGACTCAGGGTGCGCACCCAGAGTCGCAGCCTACAGTTTCTTCCAGCAGCACACGTGAGTGGCCGCCCTGCGGGCCAGCACCTCACGTGACTCCTGCACCCTGTGACTCCACCACTCTACCCCTTCCCCCACAACCCCCGCAGACCCGGAACTCAGCCTCTCGCCTCCCCTCTCCTGTCCTGCCTGCACCTCCCCAGCACCCCACAGTCCGCCCTGGCTCTGCCACAAATGCACCCCAGGGGTGGAGGTTGGAGCTGGGTGTCGACTTGAGGATCCCACCCCCATCCCTAGCGTCCAGTGTCCCATGAAAATGGGAGCTGCAAGGATGGGTGAGGAGCACCCATCCAGGGACACCACAGAGCCCCTGGCTGGAGCAGTGGGAGCCACACAGCCATGCATCTGCACCCTTCCTCTCCCTGGTAAGAACCTGTGGCTTTAGTCAGAGGTGGGAGCAGCACCTCCACACCTGCCTTCTTAGGTCTTTTCCTTTTTGCTGGGGAGGGAGGTGTTGGATAAAGAAGATAGGCCCCTCCCTTGCTGTGTGAGCCCTTGTCTTCTGTGCTCAGTCACCCTTTCACCTTAGGACATTCCCAGAAGAGCCCACTAGAGAGGTGAGGGCACTGGGGTCAGATAGAAGGTGGATATTTGGGAGAAATACACACCCCTTCTGACAGACATACACCCAGCCTGTACCCCCAACCCCAGCTGTCAACAGTTCTGACTGGGTGATCACATTTCCCAGCTCTGCCAGCTTCTGCTAGTGCTCCCAGTCCATCTGGTCTTCTCGTCCTCCCCAAGATCTGCCAAGTCGCCCCGAAGTATATAGGCTTAAAGTAGGGAGTCTATCCATGTATATAGCCTTTAGAATCCCATCAAAGTCCCCAACAACGCCCCCACCCCAGGTCAGACACCTCTCTGGAGGCACCATGACCCCCTGCTTTGTTTTCTGTCCAGGCTCTGAGGAGCCACATGTCTCAGGACTCCTTCACCCAGCATCCTGGCCTAGGGTTTTGGTGAATGGGGAGTCAAGGCTGGTTGTTCCCAAGGGGAAGAGTCTGACCCTGGAGAAACGGGGAGGCAGGGTGGTTCTACATTATTAGAGCATTGTTCCCCTTGGGTGGTTGCCCCTGGTTCTGACAAGGGAACCCCTGTATTCAAGCTGGTACATTGCTCAGATGAGAAACAAACTCCGGAGAGGCACTGCTCTGAGTCTGTGTTTGCTTGTGTGTGTGTGTGTGTGTGTGTGTGTGTGTGTGTGTGTGTGTGTGTGTTTGTTGGGAGAGCAAGGAGGATGAGAACAATGAAAATATATTTAAGTCACCATGTCTAAAAAGAGCAAAAGCATTTTATTTGTTGTTCTTTTTTCATTAATGCCCAGTAGGAGACCAGCCACAATTTTTGTTTTCTCTTTCACCGTTTCATGGCTCCTTTAGGGAAGATTTCAGTAGAGGTTCCTTTCCACCTCTTTCTTCCCCTTTCCTGCAGCCCACAGTAACTGCTGGGCCTGCGTGGGTCTCCCCTGGGAGGCTTGTGTGAACCACAGACCAGTGTGGACACCTGCTCTTCGGTCTTCAGCCAGAAGGCTCATGAGGCTACTGTGATCACAGCCGCACTCTTCCAGCCAGCCAGTCTGCTCTGGTGTGTATAGTTGGAGCTAATTCAAGGTTGGGAAGGAGTCTGCCAAACATAAATAGGGAACGAGATGAGAGGTAGTAGGGCAGGGGCTGTGAAGCTAAGAGGGTCTGGGAAGTTATGATCAGTGTGACATGGCAGATGGTTCACCACGACCGAGGATGAGAGGGGAATCTTACCCAGGGTATTGACGGTGTACGTGGGCATCATGGCATGGGGCTCCAGACCCCCAATGGTGGCATGGATTCCCTCCAGGGGCAGTGCACTGGTGGGCAGTCCTCCCTGGAGTCCTGCAGACTCCAAGCTGTGTCCCTCTTGGGCTGTTTCCAGCTGCGCAATGGTAGGCAAGTATGTTCCCTCTGCTGGAGACTACTTGGGATCAGGACATGACAGTTAGCTAGGGCTCTCTGAATGCCATTTTCTATAACCTGCTGTAGGCTGTCTGGAAGGAAAAGGGGACCACTAACTATGGAACCCTTTAAGTTCGATTGGGACATGTGAAATGCCAGCTTTTCCAGGGTTTTTTCTTGAAGCTGGCAATTTCTAACTAATGCTTGGGATTCTGGGTCAAATTAGATGGACCATTTCAGCTACCAAATAATGACGTTCAAAGCAGCACAAGCAGAGTTCCCTAGCCAGATGGCCTCCTGCTATGAACGTCGTGCCTTGACTGCCTTTCTCCAGCAGCTGCCGATTCTTCTCCAGCTCTCTCTAGGGTGACCACCACAGTTGAGGATGTTGTGGGGAGCAGAGATTCTGACTTCGCCATCTGCAGCCTACTAGCTGTGTGTAGAGACAATTCCCAGGACCTGTCCTGGACTCTGGGAAATTCAGAGACCTGGGATGCCTCAGGGATCCTATCTCTGGAACATGAAACTTGGGGACCGGATATGGTGGACCATCCTGTCTGGCCCCAGGGAGTGGAGAGGAGGCCTCTTGAGCCAGGCTTTCACCTCAGGGCAACCTTGTTCACAGCTGAGTGGGGAATTGAGTGCCACAGAGCTGGTCAGCCGCTGGACAGAGATCCTTGAGAAGATAGGCATCCCAGAGGCCCTGGAATCCAGTGAGTACATCATGGCTCATGTCCTTAGAACCAAAACAGTTAAGTGCGGTGGCACCAAGAGGGTGGGAAGAGGGAGGAGGGAGAACTGTTTGAGAGCTACATCAGGCTTTACCCCCACCCAGGATGCTTACCTGAATTGGATGGGACTTTTCTGTAGTATTGTCATAGACAGATGCTCATTCACCAACAAACCGTTACAGTGTTTGCCAGTTCCTGGGGGGGCGGGGGGAAGGGGAGGGGATCATACACGATGAAAGATTCCAGTTCTGGTTCCACAGCACATGAAGAAATCTTGGTTTGAGCTGGATGCTGGTGCCTCACACCTGTCATCCTAGCTACTTAGGAGGCTGAAATAGTAGGATTGAAGCTTAAGGCCCAGGCAGAAAAGCCTGTAAGACTCTTATCTCCAACTAACTACCAAAAAGAAAATGCCAGAAGTAGGCTCAAGCTGTAGACTGTTGGCCTTGAATACAAAGGCTCAGGGACAGCACCCAGGCTCTGAGTTCAAGCCCAGGAGTGACACAAAGAAAGGAAAAAGAAAGAGAGGAGAAAAGGATGGAGGGAGAAAAGGAGGAAAGGAAGGATGAAGGGAGCATGCAAGCCTTGGTTTGGAGTCCCTGGATCAAGGGAGCCAACCATTCACAATATCTGTCGGGACAGTTTCTGAGCCTAAAGCTAGTATGTAGGACCAAGCCACTGACCCGTTCATGACATCAGCAACTTCATGACATCCAAGATCTGAGTGGTCGCTGACTGCAGAGGGAAACATCCTCAGGTAGACCCTAGGGCTCAGGGTGGGTCACAGAGTTTCAATCTCCCCTGGCTCACCAAGTTTATTTTCTGGTCCGATAAGAAGAAACTGTCCAAGGGCTAGGGTGGAATAGGGTGAGGGAGTGTCAAGAGGGGGGTGGCAAGTGATCAGCAGGAAGATGAAGAGGGAAGACAATCCCAGATCAAGTGTGTCAGGCCATTGAAGCCATGACCTCACCTGACAACCTAGACCATCAGTGATAGAGCCTTCGACCCAGCCACATGCCTATGAAAATCCTGGCACTCTGGGTTCACCGTTGACGCTTTGGCTGTCATCCGCTGCAGGATGCCTGTGCAGTACATCCTTGGGGACTGGGACTTTTGCTGACTAAATCTGAAGATGACACCCCCAGTGTTCATTCCTCGACCAGAGACAGAGATAAGCGGGCCACTGGAACAGGACACCCAGGGAATGAAGGCGAGAGTCAGACCCGTGTTGCCCTCAGACTTCCTTTAGGGGACTCTAGGTCCCCGTGACTGCCATCCTCAGAGGTAGAGGTGGGTCTCTTTGCTGGCTCAGCCTTTAGTCTAGATGGCAGATTGGGATTCAGAGAGGGCCGACTGAAGGTCGAGGCTAGTGGGAAAACCAGAGGCAGTGGGCTCGGAGCAGGGTTGTTTCTTTGAGAATACTCACAACCCAGGAACATTCCTGGGATGGATCGGCCCTTTTCTCCTCCCTGAGAGAGAGGGACCTAGAGCCCTCCAGTCTGCATCCCTTGGCTGAGAAATCCTTTCATTCCCATATCCTGTAGTTGTATAACTAGATCTCACCTGACTGCCCAGTGTCAAGGCAGGACAGTGAGAGATCTTGAGTCCTTGATGAGGTCATAAGATCCTCAGTATGAGATTGTACTTGAATGTCCTGACTTGGTGCATGGTCAGTCTCATCTAAGACTGCCATGATCTAGGACATAGAATCTAGAGAATCAGAGCAGGATGGGGTCTATTCTGTGAGTCTTGAGTATTATGTGTGAGCTTTGAGCTCCCATGTGCTCACCTGCTTCCTTTTCTTAGGTGCATCTATGCTAGAAAAAGCTTAAAACTAGGGCCTGTATCCCATCCCTTTTTTTATGCTCAAAGCTAGCACTTTACCATTTGAGCCACAGCTCCACTTGCAACGTTTTTGGTGTTTAATTGGAGGTAAGAGTTCTCAATGACTTTGCTGCCAAGGGTGCATCCAACTGCAGTCCTCAGATCTCAGTCTCCTGAGGGGATAGGATGACAGGCATGGAAAAGCATCTTTGGCTGGGTGCCAATGGCTCATGGCTCTCATCCTAAGTACTCAGGAGCTGAATCTTAGGATCACGGTTCAAAGCCAGCTTGGGCAGGAAAGACCCTCAGACTCTTCTCTCCAATAAAGCACCAGAAAACTGGAAGTGGTGCTGTGGCACAAGTAGTAGAGTGCTGGACTTGAGCTGAAGAGCTCAGGGATAGCACCCAGGCCCAGAGTTCAAGCCCCACAACCAACGAAAAGAAAGAAAGTAAAATATCTTTGCCTGCAAAGACGGTGGAGGTGTGCTTGTGTGTGTGTGGGGTGGGGGTGGTAGACATTTAGCACCCCACTCAGTTATCATTTCAGATGGATTGTCCAAATCTCTTAGTCCACGGCAGCCGATTCTTGACCACAGGTGAAGCTCTGGGTTGGATGTCGACCATCGGACCTCAGTCTCCTCACGGGGCAGTTGTGAGGAAACAAGGGACTACTACAGAGGGCTCTCTAGAGCTGGGCCAGGCACAGAGGGAGCAGCTGTCAGATATGGTTCTCAAAAATTCTGTGAACATATGACAGGAAGTTACCTAGAAAGGGCTCAGATGGCGTCTGTTATTAATCCTGCAACAGTTATAGTATTATGAAACAATACATGGCTGTCTTTCATCATTAACCTATCCCCATGAGGAAGGGGATCCTTCACTGTATTCAGTCTTGCAGTTGGGGAAAATAAGGCATTGAGAAGCCAGGTGATCTACTCATGTCCTCCAGCTGACAGGAAGCTCGGCCTGACTTCTCTGCCATACTTCCTAGGACAGTGAGTGTTATTCAGCCCACTTCTTGTGGTGGGAGGTCCACTTTTGTCATGTGTGAGGCTTGAATTTGAGGCCTGGATGCTGTGCCTGAGCTCCTTAGATCAAGGCTAGCGATCTACCACATGAGCCACAGCATCACTTCCGGTTTTCTGTTGGTTCTTTGAGTATAAGAGTTTCACAGACATTCCTGCCTGGGCTAGCGGTGAATCATGATCTTCACATCTCAGCCTTCTGTGTAGTTAGGATTATAGGCCTGAGCCACGAGCACCTGGCTTAAGTGTAATTCAGGCCCTCTCTTCCTCTTTCTCTCTCTCTCTCTCACCCCCCCTCTCCCTCTCCTCTCTCCCTCTCTTTCTCTCTCCCCCCTCTTTCCCTCTCTCTCTATCTCTCTCTCTTTCTCTCTCAGGAACTGGTTGAATATGTGCTGGAAGAGGTGGCCCAGCATCCCCATGTGGCTGGAACCGAAGGTGTCCCTCTCATTCTGGAGGTGGGCTGAGGGTCAGGAGCTGTTTCGCTCAGGCTGTTGAGCCAGCTTCATGAGGTAAGCCCCTCTGTGCCCCGGCTAGACTGTGATGGTTATTCCTTGTCCATCCCTTGAGTCCTTCCTCACATCCCTCTGCTACACCATTGAAGGAAAGTGGATGAGGAGATGTTGCCTTGTCCCCCTGCCCAGCACAATCCCGGGACTCTGACCCATACCCCCACCTATCTGGTCAGGGCCTGGCTATAAGACAATGAAAACTCTCCATGTCTAATACCTTTTGCTGGGGAGTGTAGTTTTGGTTAGGGGGGTGGGGTGCAGAGGAAAGACCCAAGACCTGACACCTCCCGGAGGACATTTGTTCTTGTGACAGAGCCAAGTCATTGCTGTGGATAAGGAGGAAGCCACATCAGAGTGACCCAGAACAATGCTCAAAGATAAGTAGGCTGTTGAAGTATCAAACCAACTCATGTCTGCTTCCTACTCCCAACAAGGAGGTGTAGTGTGGGTGGACTGGACCTGGGCCTAAGGCATTATAAATGGATGGTGGCGGTCAGAGGCTCATGGCTCCCATCCATCATCCTGGCTCTTTGGGAGGCTGAGGTCTGATGGTCATGACTCAGAGCCAGGCTGGGCAGGAAAGTTCAGGAGATTCTTATCTCCCATAAATCACCTCCCTCTCCAAATCCACACACAAGCCAGATGTGCTGTGGCTCAAGTGGTAGAGCCTCAGCCTTGAACAAAAGAAGCTCAGGGATAACACCCAGACCCTGAATCCAAGTCCTAAGACTAACACAATCATGAAATAAATGAACAGTGTACACCTTT